AGCTGTCCAGGAACAGATTTTCTGTTTTGTCAACTACACCCACAGTCTTGTTCCCAGACTTTCCATCAGTATTTTCAGACTGTGATGGAAAAAGAAATGGAGATGATTTCATGAATTTCAAATATGCTGTAACTGTTGAAGTGCAATATTCATGTATATAACAGCCATCTGCAGTTGCTCCCAGCATACCCCAATCTCAGGGCAGTGCCAGATTATTGCAGTTGGTTAGAATGTGGCATTGACATGTCCATAATCAATTCCTATGTGATTCAACTGGCTGTGCAGAGAAGGACATCTTCAACGTCAACCTGAACTTCTCAGGTCGGCAGTCTAAGCAATCTATGCTTTGGATTATTGAGATTTGGGGATTTTCCAGAAACCTATTATTGACTTCTATTTTAATTTCATTCTGGTCAGAGAATACATTTTGTAAGATCTGAATCCTCCCTCATAGAGACTTGTTTTATAGCCCAGAATATGGTTTTTCTTGGTACATGTTCTGTGTACATGAATATTGTATACTCGTATCTTTCCATTTAGATCTTCTTTCATTTCAGCAATGTTTTGCAGTTTCCAAGTACAGCTTTTGCATGTCTTTCATTAAAATTTATTCCTAAGTATTTGTACTATTATATATGGTATATTTAAATTTTTCATTTTCTAATTGCTGCTTGCTAATACTTAAAATATTTTTAAATACTGATCTTCCATCCTATGAGTGCACTGATTTTTTTTTTATTAGTTTCAGGTGTACAGAACAATGCACTAGTTATCCTTTACACCCCTCAAAAAGTTAACACCTCCCCCTCACACACCACTGCCCTCCCACCCCCAGTATCATACTTATCTATTACAATTCCATTGACTCCATTCCCACTCTCTACTCCACGTCCCGTGACTATATGTATATATAATTATAGTTGACATACAATATTATTCAACATCAGTTTCAGAAAGGCCAGTGCGGTGGGAGTGCACCGATTTCGATTTCAATGATAAATTCCAGATTTAAAAGATTTTCTACATGGACAACGTATTATTCTAAAACTTTTTAAAGATAGGCTTTCTACATGGACCACGGTAAACAGTGTTTTACTCTTCCTTTCCAAACTTCTACACCTTTCATTTTACTTAATTTTTGCGTATGGCATTAATACAAAGTTGAATAGAAGTGGTGAGAGCAGACCTTCTCTTCTTCCCAACCCTAAGAATTGGGTATTTCACCGCTAAATAGCTATTGGTCTTTTGTAGATGTCCTTTATAAAATAAAGTTAGTTCTCTTTTATTTCTAGTTTTGTGATTATTTTCATCATGAATTGGCAATAAATGAGTCAAATGCTTTTCTGAATTTACTGATATGATTTTTTTCTCCTTTATTAATGTGGTGAGAATTACAGTTTATTAAATGTTGGGCAAATCTTGCATTCTGGGGAAAACCCCAACTAGCCATTGCATTTTATCCTTTTTCTATATTGCTGTATTCAATTTGCTCGTATTTTGTATAGGATTTTTGCATCTATGTTCATGAGTGATATTGGTCTGATTTTTTTTTCTAATGTCTTTGTCAGCTATTTCTGTTAGGGCTATGCTGGCGTTATAAAATTAGTTGGATAGTATTCTCTCCTCTATTTTCTCAGCATTTATATAAGACTGACATTTTGTGTTCTTTAAATGCTGATAGAATTCACCAGTAAAATTGTCTGGGCCTGGACTTTTCTTTGTACAGTGGTTTTTAATTATAAATTCAAATGCTATTATAAATGTGTAACTACTCAGATTTTCGGTTTCTCCTTCAATTTTGGTAAGTCTTGTTTTTCAAGGAATTTGTTAATTTCTTCTAAGTTATCACATTTTAATAACCTAAATTTATAATATTCTCATTTTATGATTTTAATTAGAATTTTTCAACTTTAGTATTAAGTGATATTTGGAGCCAAAAAATTGCTGTGATACTGTATAATAATTTTAGTAACATTCTGGCCTCTGCTCACTAGATACTGTTAATAGTCACCCTAATTGTGACAACCAAAAATGTCTCTAGACATTGGCAAATGTTCCTTGGGGACAAAATATCTCTGGTTGAGAACCACTGTTTTAATGTTTGCAGGATCTTTTGTTTCAGATACTGGTAATCTGTCTCTATTTTTAAATTAGTTTTGTTAAGTTTTGTAAGGTATACATACAAAAGCAGGCGATGCCCAATATGGCTTATGGATCATTTGCTGACCTTGACTTGGATCATTGATTAACTCTTCACTCCTAAAAGAAGAATGAAAAAGCTATACTTGCTCCTCTAAGAATACTTTATGTTGTGTTGATGGTATTAGCTAATTAATGGCTGTGAAGGGTACTGTTTATCTATGGAGAAACATATGAGCATGTTATTCCAACAGAACTGCTTACAAATTGACTTTTTGTTCTGTGATAGACAAGCAATGAAGAACAATATAAATATGTAATAACATTTAGTCACATAAATTAAATATACTCTCCCAACTAGCTGATAAAGTGATATAAATTCCTACAATCTGGCATCATATTCTTTTTGCTCTTCTAGCTAAGAAAAGCCATAATCTGTAACCTCCAGAACACTTACCAGGGCAAGAAAATTACAATTTTACTGCACCTTATGGAGTACTGATTTGCTGCCACCTGCTGGGAGGCAGAAATGGAATTCTAGCTTCCTTAAAGGGCAAGAAAGATGACCTTAGAAGTTGTAAACCTTTGCCTATCCCAGAAAACAAAACATAATGCAGGTACCATTGGGACTGAAAGAAATCAATATTAAAGACATGTTAATCGACTGTTTATCAGTAACGCTTCTGGTCAATAGGAGGCTATTAGCAGTTAGGTTTTTGGGGAGTCAAAAGTTATACTGTGATTTTCAACTGTGCAGCGGGGAGGTTGGGGACGGGTTGGCACCCCCTAACCCCTGCGTTGTTCAAGGTCAGCTGTTCTAGTCACCTAGAACCACAATTAAAACAGTGCCATTTTTGGGGGGAGGAGGCGGCCCTGAACTATCTGAAAGAAGTGTGCGGGTATCATGACCTACTCCTGAATCCTTAAGTATACATCTCTTAAGAACAAAAGCATTCTTCTAATAATCACAATATCATTATGGTGCCTGAGAAATTTAAGTCACCAATATATCTATTATGCGTCCACGCTCAAATTTCCCCAATTGTCCACAAATGTTCTGTATAACTTTTGAAACACCCATAATCCTATCCAGTTCAATAGTTTTTAATGCAGCTCAGTTCTTCTGTCTTTTTTTGTCTTTCTGATATTGACATTATATAAAAGTCCAAATAAGTCACATTCTAAATTGATCTCAGCGTTTCTTCACAGATTCAGGCTAAACGTTTTTGGCAAGAATAATACCTAGATGTACCTCCAAAAACCTCACAGCAACAGGTTTGTTTTCCCCAATATTGGTGCTAGAAATTTCTTCCATGAAGCACCTAATAACATTTTGCAAATCTGTACAAGAAAAAAAAAAAGTGAAACACACTGAAGTGTTTGAGTTTGTAGAATAAAAAACAGGTCAGGATTAAAAATCTTTTTTAAATTCAGAAACTTCCTCATTTCCTTAGGTAATGCAAGCTGAGCTTTCATAAAATGTAACACTTACCAAAAACAAAAAAAAAAAACCACCCAAAACAACTCCAAAACATTGCACAGATGAGCAACCCCAAGCTTAAAGTAATCAGCTAACTTCTCCCAAGCTCTATCCTTATTGTAGTCACTGTGTTCAGGATCTGAGATTTGAAACCAGGCCTGTTTCCATGTTCTTTGCACTACACCCTCTGGTTCATTTTTGGACTTACGTTCTTGTTTTTGTTTGTTTTTTGCAATTCACTATTCTTGGATTCTACAATTAGTCTAAATGATAATGAAGACGCTAAAGAAGGAATTTTTTATTGTTCTACATTCAGTCGGTATCAAACCATATCAAGTTAGTTGAGGATGCCCTAATCCCTCACACATGTAAGCCTCCATGCAAATCATAATGTGGGGACTGGAGTGTTGGCTCCAGATACTAATTATAATATAGCCCCCATTTATGACCTTTCTTTTCTATTCGCCATAACTTGATCCTTGTTATTTATTGTCCATTGATGCTGTCATTATTACATTACAGCAAACATTTTGGAGAATCAAGCTTTTCCTAAAAATTCTAAAACTCGTTTTACTACTTATCACATAATCTAACAGGTTTTCAAAAAATTAGTTACCATTCTCCCCCGCAGTGAGGTGGCAAATAGTAAGCATGTTCCTTTTCATCTCCATTTCAGGCGGAGAGCCTTTCCCCAGGGGTGACTTTCCGAAGGAGGTCTGCACAGGTCCGTGTTTTTGGTGCAAGTTAAGAAAGAAACATTAATCTATATGAACGGGTAGCTTTTAAAAGAAAAAACTGCGAGACCGTCAGCCATTAAAAACCACTCCAGGATTTAAAAACGAGCTATATTTCGGCTGAATGATGAGCATTTATTCCAACAGGCTGCAAACTGCTTTGCCGAGTCTGAGTCTTCTTATTTCATCAGCTTGTTCAACGTCCCTTACCTCGCCCTCTACCCGACACTTTAAAGGTTCCCGGGAACGGCAGGAGGTCTGCGTATGCTGGCCGCCGCAGGTTGCGGGGCCCCGGGCTGGACGCCGGCTCCGTCTCCCGGACATCGCGAAGCGCAAAGACCGGGAGGGGATGAACGATACCCTCGAACTGAGCAGGCGAGAGATCCCATCTAGACCTGAAGAAAAATCATAAGCCACCCTTCCCGCTTCAGTTCCCAGCACCCCTCCGCAGGTCAGCAGGCAGGTATGCTCACGCGCCCTTCCCCATACGCCAGAAACCCGCGGCCACGTCCGCCGGGACCCTGGCCACGCCCACCACCGAGGCCTACGCGCCCGACAGTGGGTGCTGCGCCTGCGCGCGGCAGAGAGAACACTTCCGGCGGAAGGGGCGGGGGCGAGGCGGCACTTCCGCGGCCTGAGCGGTGAGTACAGGATCGGGGTTGTGTGCGGCGTCCGGAGCCTGCTCTGGGGCACTGGCCTCGGGCTGCCGAGGGGCCCACCCGCCGCCGGGGGCGCCCCCTGGAGGAATTGGGGCTGGGAAAAAAAGGATATTGAATTGGGTGATATTGGGGGTGCTGGTTGTATGGACAGGCAGGCGTCGGCAAAATGGGTTCAAAGGGAAGTTTCGTTGTTTGTTTTCCCCTTAAAAAGAATTATCTGTAAAGAGTGTTTTTAAACTTGCATCATTTTGTGCAGGTTTGTGAGTTTACCGTTATGCTACAGTTAGGAGGCTCGCCCCTTGCTGCTGCCAAACCCGGCAAATGGTTAACCATAGCATGGATAGTCCAATGTAGCTACTGCCAAAGAGTGAAACTAAAACGTCTTTTATGGAGTAAAATGCAAGATATAAAAGTAGTGTTTAAACAGCATCCAGATCTGTCCAGTGTTGTGCCCGGGCATGGGCTAGCTCTCTTCCAGCAAACATACTGTATTTCTCACTAGAAAATGAAAGATAACCTAAGGCAAATGTATTTCTTATTACCTTTCTTAAGAGTTGTGCCCTAATACATATACTTTGGAAAACAAAATGAAAAACATTACTATAACTTTTCCAAGTTGTTGAAAAACAAACGTTTCCTGAAGTTCTGTGCAGATTCTTAAATCATTTTGGGGTCGTCTTGGGTGTCCAGAATATTCTTTTATGTAGTGAACATGTCACACCGTTTTGTGTTCAAAGTAATAAGAATTTTTCTTAAAAGAGCAGTTCAATTAATTTGAGGGCTGTATTCTATCAGGAGAGACAAAATAAACATGTGAAAAGTTCCATAACCATGAGAAATGGAAAGAAATGACGGTTTGAGGTATTTGAAGCTGTCTAAAGAAAAACCTGTATTTGGCATGGAAAGTGCTGGTGACTGCTTGAAACATTTGCCTCTCAGCTGATTGTTGCCATGTGGGAATGTGGGTACCTCAAACACAGATGTGATTTTTCTTCAACAGAGGCTGAAAAATCTATATTTTTATGTAATTAAAAAATTTTTTTAATGTTATTGGCAACCATTTCACTTAACACATCCTCCGTGGCCCAGGAACAGGCAGTTTGTGACTTCTGCAGATTATCACCTGGGTATTCGGAAATAATTGGAATTGAAAGAGGAAAAAAATTCCTGGGAACTGATGGTCAGGTAAGGATTTAAGAAAATGGATTTAAGCTGGGTCCGAGAGGGGAGGCTATAACAGGTGATTAAAAATCTCTGTTGGGAAAGTAAGCAGAGATAATGAGTAAACCCTCCTTAGAAGAGAAGAGGTCTGAGAAGGCAAGTGCAGTAAATGGAAGAAAACTGATTTGGGAAACCCTACAATGCCTGACTCCAGACTGAACTTTATTCTGATGGTTGTCAAACTTGAACATAAATCAGAATCATCTGGAAGGCTTATGAAAAGAAATTGCTGGCTTCCACCTCCAGAGTCTCTGATTCAGAAGGTTTGGGGTGGGGCCTGAGGATTTTCCTTTCTCATCAGTTTTCAGGTGATGCTGATGCAGCTGGATTGGGGACGGCATTTTGAAAACCAGTGTCCTAGGGTGTGGGGAACTGTTGGAGGAATTTGAGGTGGATAGTGAGGAGATCGATGACATTCACGGTTCAATATGAATTTTGCTGTGAAGTCCAAGACAGAAGACTGGGGAGGGGGGAGAGAGAAAAAAGGTTCCTTATAGTTAATTAGCACCTGCTTAATGCTAGGCCCTCTGCCAGGCTCTCTCATGAACACTATTTCATTTCATATTCACTATAACCCTAATGTGTTGATTTTAGTATTTTTTTAATGGAGAGAAGTAGAGATTGCCAAGGTTCTATAGCTAGTCTCAGAGCTCTCTACTAGTTCAGATTTGAAATAGGGTGGTAGTAGTGGAAATGAATCAAAACATTTAATGGTGATGGAATTTAGAAAACTAGAGACTTTCCAATTAGATTGAAACCTAAAAGTAGAAATTGGGAAATTGGAGTCTTAACTGGAAAAGTGGTAAAAGATAAAGTGGACAGAGAACTTGAGAATATTTCCTGCATGAATTCAGCATGTGTCCTGTACTACTATAACAATGACCTATTTTAAAGCTGCTTGTTTAAAAAGTAATTCTGCTCTACCAAAATTCCTGAAACTAATTGAAAAGGAGAAAGTAAAACCTTCTATGAGGGTGCTGGGAAGTGGAAAACAGATTAATGGCATCTGACGGCCTATCTTCAAATCAAGGGATTAGCATTGAGAAGTGGAAACACATGGTGTAACACTGCATTGACTGTATGAAGTGTGCTGTGCTAAGGACACTGACCTAATGTATTGATTTTGGAAATCCTCTATGCTTTTTCTTGCCAGAATGGTTATTGAAATTGAAAATATTCGTTGGATCAATTTCAAGACAAATATCCCAAGTCAGACTGACTGCTGCTGAGCAGATTTTTAATGAAGGAAGGCATCCATATATTGAAATCAGACTTTAAAAAGAAAGTCCTTAAAATAAATATATATTTACTGTAAAATTAGAAAAATGTATGTTTTCAAACATTGAGTAATCAGCATAATGGAGTTATTGACCCATACAAAATTATAGCATACATTCATTCATTTATTCTGTGAGCAATAAGCTATATTGTGGATACAAAGAAAACTCATAGTCTAGGCAAGAGTGACACCATAAAAAACGATCACAAAACAGTGTGATCATTACTATAATAGAGGGTTGTGATATGATGGCAAGAGATAGGACAATTGAAAGGACGTGGGAAGGAGGCCAGGGAACTTGAGTTGATTCTTGAAGGCTAAGGAGGAATTTGTGAGATGATTGAAGGAGAGAAGGGCATTCCAATGTGAAGGAATATCACAGGACAATGGCCAAGATGTATAAAAGAGTATGGCTTTCCCCAGGACCTGTGTGCAGATCAGAATAGTTACAGCAATGTGGTAAAAGTGGAGGAGGTGAATGAATTAAGTTGGAGAGATGGGTCAGAACACTCAAAAAGAGTATGAAATATTTATGTAATGACTGTCTTGGCTGGATTGTAAACTTCACGATGTTAGGAGCCATGTTGGACCCACATGCTAATGTATGCCAAGGCCTGGCTCAGTGCCTAATATACAGTAGGTTCTCACTAAATACTTGCTGAGTGAGTGAATGGCTGAATTACAGAAAAACATTTTTTTACAGACACAGCAGAGGGAACTTTTAAAATATTTTAAGCAGAGGCATAATATAGTCAGATTTAGATTTTATGAGGATACGTACTAGTATGGAAGATGAATTAATGTCATAGAGATGGCTATAGCAGATGGGGCTTTTCATTAAGGTTGTGCCCATTGGTAGGTTACAATCTACATTTAAAAAATAGAAGAAAAAACTGTATTAGAATGTGTCACATAACAGAAGTAAATAATGTTTTGTGAAACTTGTTTCATTTATATGCCTGTGTGTTGACTGATGTAAGTATATTTTTTCCTATGGTGATCAAACCTTGAAAGCCATTATCATAGAGAAATGTGGGAATGAGGTTGGGGAGGAGGGAATGGATATAAAAGATACAGTAATACCTTGGTTTGCGAGCATAATTGGTTCAGGAAACAAACTACTTATATTGGAAGATATCACTTGTTTACCACATTAAAATGTATTAGAAATGTTTGCTTGTCTTGCAAAACACTCACAAACCACGTTACTCGCAATCCGAGGTTTTACTGTACTTTGGAGGAAAACAAATATGAATCTTAAACTCTGCTGTCCACATGAACCTTGCAGGGGAGGAGGAGATGCACTTACCAGCCTATTTCAGTATTTTTGCCCACTCGATGTTTTCCTTTGTATATTAATACATTAACATCCTGGTTTATTAGGAATGGCAGTGCTTTGAGGTGTCTTGCTGAATGTTGTAAATGCTGAAAATTTTCTCTTGTATTTTGGTAGTGCTCAGCTTAAAATCAGGATGAAACCATACTCCCTCCCAGGAATCATTAAAATTCATTGAAACAGTTCGATTTGATTATTGGCCAAATTCTTTGATTTCTTCCCATAAGAAAGCAGAAAAAGATGCTTAGTTACACGAACAAGTGGGAAGTCCTTCTTCTCCCTACCTGCATGATTTTGCCACTCCAGTAGACTGAGACTGTTGTGCCTGTGAGATAGATATATATAGAAAATTGCTCATACAAGGCTGAGTTACACTAGCTTTTAAAAAAATTTAGACTTATTTAAAATCTGGTTAGTTAAATTAATTGCTTTAAATATGTTATGCTTTTTGTTATCAGGTGTGAATTATTCTCTGTGGAGCAAAAAACATTAAAAAATTTTAAGAACTTGGTCTGTTCTGTCACCTAATACATTATTGGTATCTTCTACTGATAAGATTTGCACAGAAAATGTAAACTAATCTTTCATTTTGACCTAAGCAAAAAAAAAAAAAAAAGGAAGAAAAAGATAAAGAAATGAAGATAAACAGCTTGCCATCACCTTTCCATATTCAAATGTAAAGGGTTATTTGATGTTCTCTTGATGTGACATGACACTGCTCCTCTTTTTATGTAATAATATACAGTTGACAGCATACATATCTGGATTTATGAAATCCATAGTTTTTCCCGAGCTCTGCTGCTGGTTGCGAGACCTTGACCAATCAGTGTAACATTCCTGAGCCTCACCTGTAAAATAGAATCTCACCTTTGTTGTAAATCTTAGCTGAGGAAACGCATGCACAATATCTCACATATCATAAACGTTAATAATGGCTAGCAGCTGCTGCTCTGCCATTCAGATGGTCCACATCTGAATTGGGGGCACCAAGAAAATCAGCCCCCAGGGAGAGAGTTAAAGATGTAAAAACTTAGAATTATGTACATCTAGATAACTTCGTGGTTTTGCAAAAGAATGGCGTAAAATGGTATTATCCTTTTCCTGGCTCTTTCTTTTCTCTTAAGAACCTTTTAAGATTTGTATTGTCATCAAAGGGCAGAGAACAGAATCCCAAATTGATGAACCCTGCAGTATAAACCATAAACTTGTCAGATAGTTGACATGGATTTTTGAGAAAGAGTGCAATTGTAAGAAATCACTATTTTAAATGTTAGAGCAATCTATATATATATTTACTAGATGATTTTATTCATCTCATTTATTTAGGGAATGTTGCTTGCATTATTATAAGGGGACATATTTTCATTTAGTAATGCTCCTGTTACTGGGTTTTGATTCCTTACAAGCTTATCTTTCTGTTTGGAAGATTAGTTGGATGTCTAAGTTACCTCGATTCAAACAGGGAACTTAGAAGGTGGAATGTTTTTAGTAAAGATTCTCAGGTCACACAGGTTAAGATTATTACTCAGACTTTATAGTATATTAGGTCAACATAAAGTAGATAGAATACCCACTCATGAGCCTTAAAGCAAACATGATTAACAGGTTACCATGCGCCAAGCATAGATTCTGAGGAAATCAAGAATAAGATGCTGTCTTTTCTCTGGGAGGATTGTCACCTGTGATGAGGAATGAGAATTAGTTGGGAGAGGGCTATAAAAAGATAAATTAGAACATAAGAGGACAAATACTACTCTACCTGAGCTATAAATAAAAGGCTGTGGAGCGTTGAAGATAGAATCATTTGATTGCCTGGGAAAGGTGGGGGAAGATGTGTCTTAGAAGAGGGGATATTTGAACTGAGTAGGAGTTTGTCAGGCAGAAAAGTGGGAGATATGCATTGCGGACACCTAATTTTTATTATAGCATACAGATGTTTTTTTTAAAAAAAATCTACCATGCTTAAAAATGGCCACTAGCTCATGTACATCACATTATTTCAGAGTACTATTGAACTTCAAATCTTACTACAATGATTCTGATAGAATCTCTGTGCATAGAAGCATGGCTAAAACACTATTATCACTGTTTTCACCTTGCACATAATTCTTTATACTAGGTTTTTGGGTATATATGCTAATTTTATGTCTAATTTAGAAATATACATTGAATATCGATGGTCACAATAACTGGCTAAATTAATGACTCATCAAGCTTGATTCTCATACTATGAAGAAATCTAAATGCATAAGGAAGCGAGTTACAGGGGATGGCAAGATAAAAATTAAATCATGAATAGTTATTAGATATTTCTCATTAAAATTATAAAAATTCTAAATTTTATCTTAGACATTTTGGGTTTTGTTTTTTTTTTTACCATAGCGGCTGTGTTTTGTTTGTTTTAAATGTCATTTTGAGTCTTTGTTTGAAGGATGGTAGTAGATGTTTTTAAATTGGTTTTTAGAAACATTTTTACACATTTTTATGCATTATCCTTTTAGAATAAGACTAATTGTACAAACAGAAGTAATAACTTTCCCCTTCCACTCAAAACAGAAAAATGATGAGCAGTTTTGGTTCTAATAAAAAAATGTTATTTCTTTTTCCTAATGTTATTTAGCTAAAAATTAATTTTGTGCTGATTGGCCACTGAAATACAGTTTAGAGAGGTACTTTGGAGCAATAATTTATTTGAGGTACCAAAATTTTCAAGTAATCATAAACCCAAATTTGGTAGTTTATATGTATCATTTGTCTTTAAATATTAGTTTGCCGCTGGAAGCTAGGTCAATGGCCTAATTTTTACTAAAGTTTTACAAATTGTTATAATAATAAAAGCCAGTGCTTATTGAGCTGTTACTCTGTGCTAGACACTGTTCCAAGCTTTTTACATGAATGAACTCATTTTGTTCTCACAGCCATCCTATTCTCTCACCTATTCTCTCAACTCTAGAGGAAGCTGAGGCACAGTGGTTCAGTAATTTGCTCAAGGTCGTTAGAGCTTAAGTGGCAAAGACTCACAGTGACCATGGCTCATAACCTCTGTACTTTCCTGACTCTCGGCATATTGAGTCAGCTTTCATTGTCTAATACAGTTTGAAGTGGAGAATATCAGTAAATCCAAGTAAAGGATCCTCATCTAATTCCATAGTGGTTCAAACTTTAGTGTGCTTACCTGCAGAGATTCTGACTCGTGGGGCTGAGAACATGCATTTTTAATAATAAGCACCCAGACAGTTCTGACTATACTGGGAAATACACTGAACTGGTTAGTATACTGTCCTCAGAGTTCATTTCACGTGAAGGCTTGTTGTTTGTGTGCTTATGTTAGGCCATTCTTTGCATATATCTGTGTTCCAGGGTAAGCCTTGAATAAATACTGTATCTAAACTTAGGCCTCAAGTGCCTGCACTACTAATCACATTTCTTGTGTAAAGAATGAATAAAAGGCCAGCACCAGAGGGATTCCTTTTTTAACCTTTCAAATGAGCTTCAGAATAGCGTATGTTTGATCTGAGAAAATTGTTAAGATGAATGTAAAGTCCTTAGAAAATAAGCATGACATAAAATTTCTACCCTAATGAGTTTTTTGGTGTGTATTTGTTTAGAAGAAAATTTGAATGTATGTTGCCTTTCACAGTAGAGCAACAGTTCCATGACGTGGGTTACTCTTAATATTAACCATAGGCAGAAGGGGTCTTGGTAAGAAACTTTCACCCATTTGTCCTACCAAGAACCCTGATTATGTGTGTTTTAGAATATAGGGAAAACACAAAAGCTTGTAGTTTCACTACTTCAGTATCTTAGTTGTATATTGAACTGGCAAAATATGTTTTTCTTTCTTTTAGAGAATCACAAATCACATTGAGCCAAAAAAGCTTCCATTGTTTCCTTCAGCTACAAACAAAATGAATGTTCCCGTGCTGCTACAACATCATCACCAGCATTTCCTAAAACGCCTTTTGAGAACACCTTTCCGATGTTACCACTTCATCTTTCACTCAAGTACTCACCTCAGATCAGGAAGCCCATGTGCTCAGCCATTTGATTCTCTTAGACTCCATTGTGCAAAGTGGATGCTGCTGTCAAACGGTTTAAAAAGAAAATTATGCGTACAAACAACCTTAAAGGAACACACAGAAAGACTTTCTGATAAAGAACAAAGATTTGTGGATAAACTTTATACTGGTTTAATTCAAGGACAAAGGGCCCACTTAGCGGAGGCCATAACACTTATAGAATCAACTCACAGCAGGAAAAAAGAGTTAGCCCAGGTGCTTCTTCAGAAAGTCTTGATGTACCACAAAGAACAAGAACAGTCAAATAAAGGAAAGCCAAGAGCATTTCGAGTGGGTCAGTCTTTTTTTTTTTTTTTCAGTCCAGTAAATATTTTTCTAAATTCTCTTCTTTTAAAAAAATCTAAATAGTTTGCATTCTATTTTTTTTTTCTTGTCAGAACTTGAGATGAATTTTAAATGCTTTTTGTTTGCAAATATTAGTCTTGCTATGTTGGAAAAAAAATGCCATGGCCATTTGAACCAAGGCTCTGTATTTTAAAGAAAAATGTAAGATTTCTGTTGGGAAGAATCTTGCTATGGCTCCCAGAATAAAGATATGAATAGGGAGTAACTGTTAACCAGCTTACCCCTTCCTCTCAGTAGTCCTTCTGCTTACTAGCCTAAAGTGAATTCCCTGTTTTGGTGCTTTTATCAGCTGTCATTATTCGTCTCACATTTCAAAATTCTATTACTTGGGTGTTTCATTAGTCTTTCTACAGGCAAGTATCACTTCTTTCAGATACTTTTTGTTAGAGTTTCTGGGAGTGATCTCAATACCAAAATGTATTTTAAAGAGACCATATTTATTTTCTGTCACATATTAGATGTTCATTTAATTTCTTGAGCAATTGACTTGTTTCTGTAATTGCAAATAAGCTTGCTATATTTTTGAAATTGTGCATTTTAAAATAATTTAGATATGTTTGACCATCAGGAAATACGCAGGTCAGTTTTGGGTAGCACGAGAGCTTTTTGTGATGGCGAATTAGGTGATTCCAGCCAACCCTCTTATTAAAGACAACTTGAAATGGCGGGCGAGGCGCAGAAACTTTGTGGGGGATGAGTAAATACACTTAAAAACGGACTGGCATTCCATTAGACTTTTATGTCTCAGTTTATTGGCGACATGGGGACAAAAACCTCTTCATTTTTAGAGTAACAGGTATAAATGCTTTAAAGATAATTTCAAAAAGAGCTCACCAACTGTGGTTTTTCACGCATCTTATTCTGCCCTCATGGAGGGCGCCCTCATTTTGAGAGGAATACATAATCTTTATGTATTGTAGACAAACAAAACAGCAAACTCCCAAAGAGAAATTTCAGTTATGACAGAGTGTTTACCTGTTAGGCTTTAGAGATTCTTAGAAGAAAAAATGTCCCAGAAATATCTGGAGTTAAGTGGCAACACACACAACTAGCAACTCACAGTTTTGCAGTGTTGTTGTTCTGGTTCTTCCATTTTATTAGGACTTACAAACCTATGTCTTTATTGCAGTTATTTTGTCACTATTATAAATAAAAGCAAAAAGTGTTTACTCAACACCATAAAGATGTTTAAGACTGAGACATGCTCTGAAAATTATGGGAAGGCACCAAGCATACTATATGCCATGCATACTTTTGAATATAGTTACAATTAAATGCTTATGTTTTATATACTTTATTGAACATACACTTGTGTATCTCTTACTTTATGCCATGAGCTGTTCTAAATTTATTGCCAGTATTACCTCATTTAATCCTTACAACAATGTGAAGAGATAGGTGCCATTATATCCATTTGCAGAGTGTACTGAGGTACAGAATGGTTAAGGAACTTACCCAAGATTACACAGCTCATAAGAGGCAGAACTAGAAATAGAACTGACCAATTGGCTCCAGAGTTTGTGCTCTTACCTGCCGTTTTCTACTAGCTCTCCAAGTAGGGGAACTTCCTGCTTTTCTTAAGACAAATTATGTATTCTTTGAGTTATGGGTGAGATGAAAAATTTATCTTTTATAAATAGAAAACTTAATCACTGGCAATTTCTAGAGTCATAAGTTGATTTTTCAATGGGAAGATAAAGTACAAAATTGGGATGGGTGGGATCATTACTGATCATGATGAGAGGTGGGCAGATGTAGAAATTCAGCACATTGATAGCATAGGTAATGAAGTCTGCCCCAAAAGGTCCACATTGTAGTAAAAAGACAGATTTTTACAAGTGAATTTGGTGAACATATGGAACTCGGAATTATTTCCTTCCTGTATCCCTATTACTCAGGAACTAGATAAATCAGTGGATTTTTCATTTACTCTTTTAGGAAATGTTAAAACACATTAAAGACAGTTTTAATAAATTAGAAGGAACAGAAGGTAGTCTAATACTTTAATAGAGCTCATCATAGTGCTGATTTCATTTATTTCATTAAATTAGAAGATCTCTTTTCACTATAGGATTGTCTGGGCCCCCGGGTGCTGGAAAATCAACCTTTATAGAATATTTTGGGAAAATGCTTACTGAGAGAGGGCACAAATTATCTGTGCTGGCTGTGGACCCGTCTTCTTGTACTAGTGGTGGTGAGTATTGCTGATTCTTTTTAAATCGCAGAGTTAGGGCTCGTGGGGTTTTCTGTTACAATTTAGCGGGAATTTGCGTAGTCAGGTGACTTCTAACCTCTAGCTGAGTTTGGTCACAGTGAAGGGAGTTCCGGTGGACCAGTGGAGGCTGAGGGGAGGTAGTTTCGGACACTGGGCTCTACAGACAAGGTTAGCCCAGGAGTAGCCTTGGTACTTAGAGAACTGGGAAAACACTGCCAGAAGTTGAAGATAATCAAAAGCGAATTTCAGCCCTTTGTCTATTGAGGCCTGAAGTTAGGCCCCTCTTCCCTCCTGTCGTTTTTTCCTGGCTACATCATCCCCTGCACAATTCAGAAAATGGGTCCTTACTCATTCATTATTATCCTCTTAATGTTGTAACATCTCTTAAGCTTAAAAGAAAAACAAACCTATTGCTCTTTATAACTTGTCACCTGTTTATATTACATGTTCAGCCCAACAGAAAGCTCTTAGAGGGCCCGTGTAATACACAACTGCTCCCCTGCAGCACTTAGCGAAGCACGTTGCATACAGTGCTCAGCAATTACTTACTGATTGGAGGTCATGCCGTCACTCAAAGTTAATTTGCAGCTCATCAGAAATATAATGAATAAATGTAGTTCCCCAAAGGATCATTTAAGGAAAACATAAAGCATACCATATAAATACTCAGGAAAGGTTTCTTCTCTTACCCTTCTTTATGATTTAAGCTTCTCACATTACAGTTCTTCATTTAACAAGTGTTTCAGTGCCTACTATAGGTGAGGCATTGTGCAAGGAAGGGACTGCATTGTCTAACGGTAAATAAGACCTTTTGGTCTGATGGCGCTTTATATCACATGAGGGAAACACAGGCCATTACAATGTAATGTGTGTTGTGAAGGGCAAAATACAGAGTGCTTTGTGGAAGTGTTTGGTTTGTATGCTGTGGGTTTTAAGGACCTTAGGATAATAGAAAGGTAGACAAGAATTCCTGTTACCACCCATTGAGAAATTTAGCTGAGAACATTCACAACTTTTGATTCACTATAATAAAAAGGTTAACTGCAAAATACAATTTATATTCCCAAGGTTAAAGATTAAATTCATATCAATATATTATTTACAATGTAAGAACTTTGTTAAAGGTACGTACCTGAACAAAGAGTTTTTTTATAGTGGCCCTCATTTTCATATAGGTGAGAAGGCCTTTCCCCCCCACTTTCATAATATTCTAGAATACTTGCAACAGCAAAAGAAAATAGTAGCTTAAGATAATACTAGCGGAAACGTTGGCTTAAGATAGATTAAAGTTGCTTAGCTATGTGGTTCCTGATCTTTCTCAAACCAAAAATGAGGGTCTCTTTCCCAGGTAAAAATATATAGAGACTTTGAAAGAAAAAATACACAAAGATAAACAGGACAATGTAAGTGTAGATTTCTACCTTATCGCAACAGTATATCCATTTGAAAAATAACATTACATTAAAGTTTGAGAAGCATTAGTTTTTGGCCCATAATCAATCCTCCTTGTGCTTTGTATTCCCAGACCCCCTGCAGTACCTGTGAGACCTCCCTAGGGTCTGCATCCAACAGTTTTGGATTCATTGGCAAAAACAATTATATGGGAGAGTAATTTCATAATGTCTAGTTCAGTGTGTTCGGATATATAGGAGAATAAAGTATAGTTTTGGCAGATTGTTGACTTACACAGAGGTGATTTCATGCAGAAAATTACTTTAGAAAAAATTTTATGTGCAGTAAATAACAGTTGAGATATGTGGTAGGTCTGAGCTCTAGAATTAGAACCTATGAGAACTCTGAACTGGAATCAAAAGGGAAAAGATCATATCTTGAAGGAACTTTTGAATGTTTAGTATCAATTTTATGTGGAAAAGTTAGTTCTTAGGCAGAGTGACTATTAACATTTAGGTTGGAACAGCACTACACTTTCAAATGTTAGTAAATGGCTAAAGAAAGAAGTTAAAGGTAATTTCAGTAGTTCCAGGGCTTTCAGTTTTTTAGAATTTGCAAGTATTGATGTTTGTCAAAATACTGCAGTAAAGCCTGAAACATCACCAGTTCTGTTCCATTGGTATTAATTTAATTGCCTACTGTGAACAATCATTTAGAATGTGAGACGTGGTCCTTTAGGCAAGGAACTGATGTTAAAGCAGGGCTTCTTGACCTTGGTACTAAGGACATTCTTTGTTGTGGCATCTGTCCACGTTGAAGCATTATCCGTGGCCTCCACCCGCCAGATGCCAGTAGCCTCCTATGCCACTAGTTGTGACAAGTGAAAATATCTCGAGATATTGCTAGATTTCCTCCGGGAGCAAAATCATTCCCAGTTAAGAGCCATAAACACAGTAATGTTAACGTCACAGTAAAAAAACCACCTTAGCTGCGATGGAAGATTGGTTCGGGACTAATAGAAGCCAAAGTTAGACAGGCCACGTAGGGCTCCATGCTGAGGGCCTTCAGCACTAGGCTGAAGAATCTAGATATGAACCTCTAGTCAGTGGGAAGACGTTACAGGTTTCGAGGGGCTTGAAATGTTAAAAAGATTAATTTGTCATTATATACTGTGTGGGGGGAAGGTTTGATAATATGAAAAACAATTTGAGATTTTTGGGACAAATGTCATAAAGCACGTTACCTAGGAATTGGCTGATTGAGAATTGGCCCTTATAGGTGTTTTCATGATGACAAAATGTAACTGTGTTTTAGGATCATTGTTGGGTGATAAAACCCGAATGACTGAGTTATCAAGAGATATGAATGCATACATCAGGCCATCTCCTACTAGAGGCACTTTAGGAGGTGTGACAAGAACCACAAATGAAGCTATTCTGTTGTGTGAAGGAGGGGGATATGACATCATTCTTATTGAAACCGTAGGTGAGTGTGATTTTCTACTTCATAACAGTCAAATACTGTTCTAAAGGACTCTACATAAAAATGAGTGACAGCTAATTTCATTTTGTTCATTCAGCAGATATTTACTAAAGGTGTAATTCAAGATATCTCAGGTTCTATAGATATGAACATGTATATAGATATGAGCATCTATAATCTTACCCTTAAAGGAAAGAAAAATAAGCCATGTATCTGGATAACTGTTGTACACGGTGGTATGGTATAAGTGCCAGAGGAGAACTGTAAGCACCAGGATGACCTATGGAAACAGTACTTGAAGAAAACACCTGTTTTGTTTAAGCACCTTACATATGTCTACAGTATTTGCTAAGAACGTTAATGTAATTGGGTGCCTCTCAAATACACGGCCATGTTTTATTTCATCTTTATATCCCTAGCACATAATTATACATGATGAAAGTACTGAAATGGAAGCCCCCAAAGTTCACATTTTTTGTGGACAGTCTAGTATATTACTGTGTGATAAATGTTTGTGACACCTGACTCAGATTTGGGGATCAGGGAAGACTTCTGGGAAGAGGTGACAGTTAGACTCAGTTTTGAAGGAAGAATTGGAACTACATAAAGTGCGGGCTCAAGGGCATTTGCAGACACAGGTGAGTGAGAGAACGTGGCCAACTCAGAGAACTGCGGTTTGCTCAGGATTCGCAGAGAGTGTGAAGGCAGGTTACAGTAAAGAGAGGGGGCTAAAGACTAGAAGCTCTGCCATCTAAGGGTGGATGGAGGAAAGGTCGCCTGAGCGGCAGCAGGGGAATCCAGGGAGAAGCGGACCATAAAAACCAAGCGTGTCACCTAGAAGTTGCATTTGGCTGCTTGTCCCAGAGACTCAAAACTGGGACTCAGATGAGAAGGTTTGCTTTTTTGTAAATAAAAGAAGGCAGCCCCAAGCAGGTGTGGTGGTCCTACCATGCCCTCAGTGTCCCAGGCTTCTCTCTCTGCTTTCCGTTCTTAGCACTTCATTTCCGTCTTCAAGGTTGCTCATGGTTAAAAGATGGCTGATGAGGCTCTGTCACATCTGTGTTCCAGGTAGAAGGAAGGGAGAAGGGGCAGGCAGAAGAGGTGTACCTCCTGGCTCTTTAAAGAAAAAAATCTTTCCTGGATCCCCCATCTAATGATTTGCTTTCACTCATTAATCATCTCTAGCTGAAAGGGGTGAATGTGGTCTCTCACCTGGTACCTTGATGCTCCCAGTAATACTGGGGTAAGGAAATAGGGAAGAAGAAATATCCACTGGGCAGCTAGAAGTCTGCCACACCAAGGAAGGAGAGAGTTTTGAGAGGAGGCTTAGTGGGGCGGGGAATGTGAAAATCAGGTTTCAGTGGACTGAGATTAATTAAGGGAAGTAAGCAGTCAAATGACAGTGAGCATATATTGCTTTTATCTGTTGGGTTGTCAGAAAACTACCATGCATTTTTGCAGCAAAAAACGTAGAAAAAATACGTTATTACTTTTCCAACAACCCAATAGAAACTTAGCAATACAGAGAAAGTGAGAAATCTGGTGATGACTGGAGGAGACTGTGAGTGTTTGTCTTATTCTTTTCTTGTTTGGTTTTCAGGTGAGAAAGACTGGAGTTCAATTTGTGTGATGTGCTGAGGGACAGGAGCCTGTAGACGAAGGCGAGGTTAGAGAGAAGGCAGCGCGAGGGCCCAGAGGTGCGAAGGAAAGCGGGCGATCTTCAGCCCCCGGGTCTGGACAGGAGGCAGCAAGGCCGAGCTTGTACTCAGATCTGCGTATTTGTGGCGGGCCGGGGGAGCTGAGGAAGTTCTTGCCTGTGTTTCGCTGAAGTCATCCTCATGTGGGGAGGTCACGGACAGTGAGTGTTGTAACAGCTGCTGTGAGCAATGGGAAGGAAGCTGACAGGCCACGTAGGGCATGGCTTTTGCTGGGCCGTGAGGAATGTGCAGCAGACGCTGGAGCCCATGACCCTGTAGGGTCACTTAGAGCCACACAGTTGAGCGATTTCTCCAGCAGGATATAGAGGCTGGAACACAGTTGGATTGATCCATGGGTGGGGGTTTGCAGAGCTGACTTAGAAGGATGAGAAGGCAAGAGAGCTGAAAGTATTGATAGGCGTGGTCTGAGATTAGAATTGCGGTGTTCAAATTGCTCACTGATAACGGGAAAGCCAAGAAAGAGCTACCGGAGTGGGGAGAGGATGGAGGCCTTGAGGGTCTCCATTCAACCAAAGACCAAGACCGCTGGGAAGATGGGAGGGAGTGAGATGGGAATGTGGGAAGGTAAACCCTATGAAGTGGGGTGTTTAAAGTGGGATCCGGTTGAGTGTGTGATTGTATGAGTGAAGGCAGCGCAGTGGAAATGATGGTCAGTGTAATTGAGGCTCACGTTACTCTGAATATTTTAGTATATAGTTGTGATTTAAAATTCCAGGTGTGGGCCAATCGGAGTTTGCTGTTGCTGATATGGTTGACATGTTTGTTTTACTACTGCCACCAGCAGGAGGAGATGAATTGCAGGTAATTGTTTTGACTCCCCCCTATTCTCCTCCCCCCAGAACACAAAGTATACATCTCTGAAAGTACAAGTTTCCAGTGTTTTTGTAAATCAACTTGATATTAGAGTCAGGAAAGAAATATCATCCACACTTGGTTATATTTTTTCCCAGCTTGTAGTAATAGAATTTATGACCTTGAGGTAATCATACAACTTAAAAAACATTTTTCCACCTGTAACATGAGAGTGATGGAATACATGGACAGCTCCAGTCAAAAGAGACCACTGTCACGTGGGTGTTTGTAGTGTAGTTAGTTCAAAAGTTGCTCATAAGATATGGTTCTAACTGGGGTCCCACTATCATAGTTTATATATTGTAAAATAGGATTCATACTTTCCTCCTGCAATGCAGTTCTGGCATTGACTACCTGGTGGTAACAGCCTCCACAGGTTGAGGGCACTCACTGCTCTTCACAAGACTGCCCTCACTCTGCGCCACCCACGGCTCAGCCCAATTGGCTGCAAATGTGGAACCCACTACCCCTCAGGTTTGGTAATTCACTAGAATGACTCACAGAACTTAGCAAAGCACTGTATTATAGTACAGTTGTATTACAAATAATACAGATCAGGACCAGCCAAATAAAGAGACACAGGGAGAGGCCTGGAAAGGTCCCAAACTAGAAGCTTCTCTGTCCTCAGGGCACAGTTCCCTCCTGGCACGTTGATGTGTGTCACTAACCAGGGAGTTCACTGAGTTTCAGTGGTCAGAGTTCTTATAAGGATTTCTTTATATGGGCCTGATTGACTGAATCATTGACCACGTGATTGAACTTAGTCCCTCCCAGACCCTCCCCTCCCCAGAGGTCAGACTGATCTCACAGGACTCAAGGACCCAACCCTCTAATCACATGGTTGGTCTTTCTGGTGTGGTCAGCCCCCATTGGAGGGTTCTCCTTGCATTAACTCAGGTCCTGTCCCAGGCACTCCTGGTGAATAACAAAGACACTCCTGTCACTGGGGAAATTCCAAGGACTTAGAGGTTACTTCCCAGGAACCTTGGACAAAGACCAGAAAAATTCTTTATTATACAATACCTCCCTTTCAATTGTATAACTCAAGCAATAGTGATGCTGCAATTTAGAAACATTAACTATTAGAATTTAATCATTGAAAGTTATGTTTAAAAATATGTGAAGAAAATTTTAATCCTAGATGGAAAAATGTGCATTTTTCCAAATAATGTTTGGCCTTAGGATTTCTAATGTTTTTTTTTTAAAGATTTTTTTATTGGGGAATTGGGGGAAGGGGAACAGACAAGTTGCTGTCGTTTTTTGTTCTTCAATCTAGTTGTGGAGGACGTTGCTTCAATGGCCCAAGTTGGCACCATCATTGCGCTCTTCCCGGGCGAGGCAGATCAGTCGCCGGCTTCTGGAC